TACATTCAGAAATAATAATCATAATATGAGTGTTATCAATCAAATACAGTCAGATGGGAAATAAGACGAGTGTTTTCTTTTATAGTCAAAATAAATAAGTAACTTGTTAGAATGTTATGATGTACGTGAATTGAATTGAAATAGAATTTTGAGATTATTTATTATCCGCCTCTGATTTGACTGACTGACTGGTGGTAATAATATCTTTCATATCTCTGGTGTTTGTGTTGCATGTGTTGGGTGTAGACTCAATGAACCAGGCAGGATTCAGTAATCAGTCTCACTCTCCACCTACCTATATTACTTCTCAGAATTTTAACCCTCTCCCACCTTATTGTGTCGTTGTGTGTTAATGCATACAGTACAATTGCTGAGCTCTTTTCTAAATTACTCATCTTCTCGGAGTCAACCATTCTTACCTTAGCCACTGAATTCTTGTCTTCCGACAATCTGGCTATCTCCGATCTACTAGTTTGACCTATATAGTTGACCTCACAGTTATGCTATGAAATGTGACCGCCTTTACAATTGTATCCTACTGGTTGGAAATCTAATAACCCATAGAGATGTTAAGTTCTGGCGTTTCACGACACAGTACTAAGAATTATTTAGTCCTAAACATCAAAACAAGAGAGGAATTGTACTTAATATTTCATTTGAAAACTTTACACTTAAATAATGAAAACTGTGCCCTTCTTTTTCTCCATTGAAAATTGAACTTTAATAGCTGCTTTGTAATGCCATACATTAGAAATGATCACATGACATCATCATTATTAGTAGTTGTATAACAGTTTACATTGACCAGACATCAGTGGAATGTAGACACGGAGAGAGATAAAGAGAGAGAGAGAGAGAGAGCTGATTGATTGATTCCAAACCAGATCAAGAAATGATATGAGTCATAGAACTATTAAAAACTAGAGAATATAAGATAGTCATTTTGGCCAGCATCAGAACTTTTTCTGATGTGGTTGTTTTCTCTAAGCTAGCTGGATAGTTAATTTGCGAAGCTTTCATCGCCCCAACACTAGGCGACATCTTCAGCGCATACTTCAGTTTGTTGAAGTGGGCTTTTAAATTTCTCTACGAGTTTATTAACCATCTCTCCTGGTGACCACCTTGAACATGACTCTTTGGTTGCTTTTGTGTGTTTTCACACCCTTTATGCTACTTGTATTGGAACTGACTGTTTCTTTGACTTGAACTTTGACGCTTTGTGTGTGAGATTTCCTTTTTATTGACTGGTAAATTTTGTCTATCTCGATGTGTCTATTGATTGACGATTCACTGGAATACCAGGTGGGCTTCTAAAAATTCTCTGGCTAGCATTCTTGGTGTTTCCTCTGTCTAATATTCGAACGTTGGTTGCCTCAATCGAATTGATGTCCATGGTTGTCTGTAGGTAGCGAGTGATATGAGGGAGTGGATGGCGTGTCTTCCGACGGCTAATTTATGAGCATGGATACGAAGACTAAGAGCACGTCCACTTTGGCTAACGTAGTGCTTCTTTCAGTCATTGCAATTTATTTTGTAGATGATGTTGGTTTTACCTTCTTTCATTGTTGAGTCTTTTGGTTGACACAGAGCCAGCTGAGTGGAGTGATTTTGTTGGTTTGTGAGCGACGCCTCTTACCAATCGATAAGAAGGAAATCTCACACACAAAGCGTCAAAGTTCAAGTCAAAGAAACAGTCAGTTCCAATACAAGTAGCATAAAGGGTGTGAAAACACACAAAAGCAACCAAAGAGTCATGTTCAAGGTAGTCACCAGGAGAGATGACTAATAAACTCGTGGAGAAATCTAAAAGCTCACTCAATTCAAATTGAAGTATGCGCTGAAGATGTCGCCTAGTGTTGGGGCGATGAAAGCTTCGCAAATTAACTATCCAGCTAGCTCAGAGAACACAACCACATCAAAATCATTCACCTGAGCTACAAATCTTCTCTATCACATAGCATCAGGACCTTCTGCAGTACGCAATCATCCAGTGGGACAGCATCTGATGGTGTATGAATTCTAACTGCTGTCAGTCCACTATATGCAGTATCACCCAATGTCATCGGTGAGTATTTCTTCCAGCAGATGACTTCGTGTACCCCATTAGTCATGACTTCTCAAGACAAACGGAGGAACTCCAAAAGAGTTTGCGTGGGGGTTGGGTGGTTTTCATGGGGGACCATCCCCCACCTGGTGCCTTAAACTTTAAGCCTGAACCACAACTCAGAAAGTGAGCATCACGAGCTCCATCTCCACTATGTTCTGTGACCAAGAAGGCTCTTACGTCACTTCTATCCCTTCAAATTCTAGAGCCTATATACGCCATAGGCTTGGAGTCAGGATTTTCCAGCCCCACACCCCCTAGGTAGATTATCACACCAGGACAACAATCTAGGTGTAAGCTCTAGACGTTCACAATCGTATTGTCACTCTTTTGAGGAACACCCTCATCGCCACGTGAAGGAAGCGAGTGAATAGAACCTACCTGTAAGAGGCTATGAAGGCGGATGTGGCTGCATGAGAACACTCCTAGAGAGAGACTGAAATCTACTCACTGCAGACCATAACAAATCGTTTGTAAGGAAGAGGACAGAGTGTCTAAAGTTCCGATGACAGTACTTGTGGCCACCAAATTCACTGTGAGGACAAATACCGGATGACGGTAGCACTGTGACGACAGATCGTTTATTAAGGAAATCAACACACATTTATAGATTTTCATGTACATTATTATAGATTATTTTTAGCAGACAAACACAGTCTTCTGACTGGTTGTTTCTCACTGAAAATTAGTCTTTCATCTCTTTGAGGCTGTTTTTGAAGGTCAGATCATCTATATGCAAATTGTATCCGCCTACGCAAACAAAGTCTTCTGTGATTGGTTGTTGAGTTAGTCTTTATTCTTTTTCTTTTCACATGACCAATATTTGGGACGTAAACATTGACGTGTAAATTACTGTCTACCAATTTTGGCTAGCAGACAGCTCTCTCACCACAGCACTATATATCACAAGTTGGCAGAGTTACAATTCTCATGTCCTAAACACTGAATTCTTTCCCAGTGTTTGAATAGTCAAGAAGATCCCATTGTAGGCAAAAGTTCCTGGGTTCAAAACCCTGTTTGGGTCATGTGCATATGCGTACTGCAGAAGAGGCCCAAACCAGGATAAAATAACTGTTTAGTATACCCTGGTTCAATGACCTAACTTGTAATCTATCAAGTCTATGCAAATGCGATGATAATAACAAATAATGATGTACTTAGAAGTAATTTCGCGGGTGGTAACTACCAGTGGAATCCAGGTCCTGTTTGGGGCTCGTCACTTGAATGCAGCTGCATTCCCCAGTAATTAACAGTGTTTGACTCTTAGTTAGCACATCACCACTCACTGAAGAGTCCAGGTACATCTGCATCTAGCTGAAGAGTCACAAATGGGACGAAATTTGCATACACTGGATTCCACTGATTAGTCACCATCCACCAAGTTAATCCTCAGACACCATCGAGCCAACATGTCAACAGAGGCTTGAACATTTCAGTTCAATTGAATTAAAAACCAACGATGACATAATTAATGATTTTGTCTGTTTTGGAATTTGATATAAGCATAAGACGTGAGCACTGTGGTGGGAGAGTATAACTCCATTATGTATAAGATTTTATTTTGATAAATCGCACAATGTTGTTATACAGTAATATTAACTGATGACCACATTTCGAGCACAAACTATTGCCACTCATAATCATATCAAGTCACTCACTCACACAACTTCCTTCCTTCATTTATATGCATGTGTAGAATTGATGATTAGACATTTGATTGAATAGAAATCAATATAGGAGAATGTACATTCAGAAATAATAATAATATGAGTGTTATTGATCAAATACAATCAGATGGGAAATAAGACGAGTGTTTTCATAGTCATAATAAGTAACTTGTTAGAATGTTATGATGTACGTGAATTAAATTGAAATAGAATACAATTTAAGATTATTTATTATCCGCCTCTGATTTGACTGACTGACTGACTGGTGGTAATAATATCTTCCATGCCAATCTCTGGTATTTGTGTTGCATGTGTTGGGTGTAGATTCAATGAACCAGGCAGGATTCAGTAATCAGTCTCACTCTCCACCTACCTATATTACTTCTCAGAATTTTAACCCTCTCCCATCCTATTGTGTGTTAATACATACAGTACAATTGCTGAGCTCTTTTCTAAATTACTCATCTTCTCGGGATCAACCATTCTTACCTAAATTTTAGTGTTCTGACAATCTGATAACCATCGATATACTAGTCTGACCCATGTAGTTGACCTAACTCACAGTCATTGCAAGGTATCTTGTAAATTATATTATTTCGTCCAATTGGGTCCATCGAGACTTTTCGCCTACAGAGCTTGTCTCTGCCTGAGTGAGTTTTTAGGTTGGAATGCCACCCTGATTCCTGCTTTATTAAGAATCCTACATGAGGAGGGTCTCAGATGTCCCTTCCCTTCTTATATGGTATAACAGTAGATGACATATTCTCTCTTATTTATGTTATCACTACTAGTTCCACAATTATTTTTATTTGGCTTTTGGCCTTTACTAATCTTCCTAATGAATTTGACAGGATAGTTATTTAACATCAACGTCTCTTCTATCTGTTTTATTTCATCCTTTAGGTCTTTTCTTGTGCTACTTAGTGCTACTGGTTGGTTTGTTAAACACTTAACTAAGTTTGCCTTCACAGACAGTTAACGGATGAGATGAATTAAAGTCTAAATATCTGTTAGCAGAATGTGTTGGTTTTTTATAAACGCCTCTAGTGTGCAGTTTACCTTCTTCCAGTTCTTGAAGAGGCGTAAGGCGCTGTTCTTGTGCAGCTTGATGAGACGGCTAGCCTTTCTTTCAATCGGTTTAGGTACCTTTCCTTCTTTCCAAACCTTTTGCACATCTGGTCATGTGCTCTAATTTACTTTTCCCTTCCTCTCTTTCACTTCCTTTGTAGAGAAAAATTTGAATATGGCTCGTTGCGCAAAATTAGCTCAGAATAGAATATTTCAAAATCAGCTATGGCGTCCAAAAGAAATGAATAACAAGATTATTTCATTGATACCTGATTTTCTTGTCTATTTAGAACAATTAAAATGTCTACAGCTTGAAAATGCCGAACAAACCAAGGATAAACACCATTCATTTAATCGAATCAACAGCATTATGAATGGTGTAAAAAGTATCAGAGAAATAAAACATTTAAACGTCTACCTACAAGGTCAAATAGGCAGTTCTATCGATCCAAAAGGATTACGTGGACAGCTGGTCAGTAGAATATTGAATACACTCGATGCATTACAAGATATTATCGCGAATATACGTCGAGAGATTATAACACCATTATATCAAATTACACCAGGTTGTGAAACACAACAACAGCTCGACAAGAAGTCTACAATTAAAGTTACCACTGAAAGGCTTTTCAATGAGTTAAATGCTGGAGAGAACGAAAATGCCTCAATGTCAAGAGATAGTATCCTTGAAGTTCCATTGAATCTACAGTATAGTATAAGAGAGGAATATTTTGAAAAATATGGTTGGATGCTTTGCCTAACAACAAGTGTATTAAATATTTTGAATAAAATTGATTTTGATATTGATGAGTACTTTCAGCTGGGATGTATTACTGACATTGTCAGTAAGATGGCGAGTTGATTGACAGGTGTATTAACAATAGCAATAATAATAAATAAAAGTTTGATGAATGAAAACAATATACACTGTTTTGAATTTCTGCAAAACACCGAAAATAACTATCGATGCAAGGATGAATGTGTACGGCTAAGAAGTTGACTCTAGGGCTTCAACGATAGCATAGAGTGTTGAAGTAGTAGTTTCCAAATTACTTCTCGGTCAACACTGTCTGTCCAGGGACTTTTCGAAGTCGATGAAGTTTACGTAGAAGTTTGAGTGGCATTCGATTCTTTGTTGTGCGATGATGATGATGATACGTAGACTTACAATTTGATCAGCATATGATTTACCTTTCCTGAATCCAACCAGATTGTTCCAATGGGACTGACGGAGTTCTGTATCCAGTGTATCCTTTAGTCCCTCCAGGATGATGTAAATTAGTATTTTACTTGGTGTGGATAACAGTATTATTGCACACCGGTCCTTGCAGAGGCGTAAGTCGTGTTATGAACCTGTCGCCAATAAATGTTATGTACTGCTGCTGTGTACTTTATTGTCCTGACTCGAAAGGGGAAAAATCAGAAGGCCACCACGTTCACAAAGATATGTGTATTTTCCAACAAAGGAAATTGACTGTCACACAAGTGTGTGAGTGAAAGGGAACGTAGTGTACGAAAGGTGTGAACAAGTGTGTAAAAAAGTGTACAATGCAGAGTATACATGAAAATGACTAATACACATGAACCAATAAGACAGAGTGGTTTTTTCTTAACATCAATGGATTCTGATTGGTTGTAATGTCATGTGATAAAAAGGTCATACATTGTTTATTTAGTTAATGGACAGATAAAGCATATTGTGAGTTATAATGGAATATAGATCAATATACACATAGCAAAATATAATAGACCGTCAAAAACAAAGGCAGGCATCACGTGACTACATATCAAGTCGCCCTTTTTGGCAGCTTGACGACGTAGCTAGCCTTTATTCCAATCGGTAGGTACCTTTCCTTCTTTCCAAACCTTTTGCAGTATTGGTGTGAGCACATCTGCGGCAGCCTCTAGTTGCGTTTTCAGTACTTCAGGGGGACCAGTGTTCAGTAGCTTGGAAGGTTGGTGTTCACTGGCAGTTCCGTGCGTGCTGTTGCAGGTGATGGTCGATTCAATAGTCCTTTTTTATACAATGATCAGTCTATTGTTTGATTTGTTTCTCCTCCTTGGTAATCTGCTCTCTTTGAACATCTTTTATTGGTCTCATCATCTGGGTTGATCTCTTCCCCGATAGAGATCTGGTGCCTATCTGATATAATGTCCTTAGGTCTCTTTTGCCTGAGGCTTGTTCTGCTTCAGTTGTCAGCTAGTGTGTCGTAGAATTGTCTTCTGTCTTTCCTAGTACTCTACTTCACTTATTTATTCAGTGCAGTGTTAGCTGATATAATATGTTGAGTAATATTGGGATTGACCGTTGACTGATAGGTAACGAGGAAAGGCCGACCGACGAGGTTGTGAAGTTACATCGACTTAGATGACTAAGACATGTACTACGCATGCCTAGCGTAGCCATCACCTCCCTCAACCGACGGGCAATGTTAGCTGACGTAGAATCAGGTCGTAAAACAGTTAGTGGTGGTCGAATCAAAACACACAATCGATCCATGAAATCTTAGATAGTTCGTTTAAGCCATCTGAAGATCCATAGATTTCCTTACTGGTTAGGATCTTCGGGATGGTAAAAACCAGTGGCTGGAAACTATTTGCGAAATGGCTACACTTCTGTGCAAAATTTTTATGCTGAAACCAGTCAGTCAGTATATGAATGTAAGTGTAGAGTTCAGGCACTTTGTGGTAGGATATAACACACAATTACAGACTTGATCACGGACTGATATCAGCTATAGAACCATTGGAAAACCATGAGTAATTGAAGAGCTGTTTAGTCTTAGGTTTACACCCCTCATCAGTACGCACACATCCGGGTTCGAACCCAGGACCTTTCGATTGCAAGGCAAGCTTGAAGACAATCTAGCTACTGGGTCTCAATTCGATGGCTCTATGAATTCGTAATTTTAGGGCGACCACCAGCCAATGTCATCGGTGGGTATTTGTTCTCACACTCGACCTGGTACACTCTCCTCTGGTCACGACTTCCCAATATAAAACGACTCCACACAACTTCGCCCTATAACCAGTCACTAGTCAGTCTGAGATTAATTTCCAAGAATTACCTTATATAGGGAGGGATTTGATTTATTTCATGTTAGATTCTGCATTTCTCACAACCTACAGATAGTCAAAAATTCATTTAAAACAAGCAATAAAGGTTAATAAAGCAGGATTTAATGGATTCGTCAAATTTCGGTCGAATTCGTCAGCTGCTCAGTACTCTTCATAAACAGATATATATATATATATATATACTTTTGGAATTTGATATGTATCCACATATATATATTTATGTGTGTGTGTGCATGTTGGTCTCTCTTTCTGTTTGCTCGGTTAGTCTGTGACCACTTCACTTGTATGAACTTGTCTCCTTTAATAATGTATATTCTCCTCATATTATATTATATATAATATGAGTGTTTGTTGACAGTCCGTTGCTTGGTGACATATATCCATATATGTTTGTTGGCATGTCTGCTATATTCGCTATGTATAATTGGATCGACACTCCATTATAATTAGCCATTCATGTTAAGACTGTCTAATGATTTTTCCCACGCTTGTCTGAATTATTTATATATATTCGCATTCACAATTTGTGTGAACTACTTTACTTTACAACTACTTTACTTACTTACCACTTTGGTGTGAGACCATTTATTTTCGTCTCCTTGTGTTTGGACAATAGAAGTATCATCGCAAACCTAGTGGTCTTCTGATTTCCGCCTTCTCGCGTCAGGACTATTAGTTTCTCGACCAGTCCATAACAATAATTTAGCGACGAGTACATAACAATTTGGCGACGGGGAAAACTAATACATAACAATTTGGCGACGGGAAAACTACTATTAACCACACAGCAGCAACAACATAACAATTTACTATGGATCCTATTAAATTGGAATTATTGTTTGAACGACAAATGAAATTAATGGAAATGTTCGTCAACCAACAGACTGGTCCAGCTCCACCTTCAAGCAATCCCAATCATACCATGCTACCATCTGTCGACGGAATTGTGAACAGCATTTCACAGTTCAATTATGACCCAGAGGCTAATGTCACTTTTGACACATGGTATCAACGTTATGAGGATTTATTCACTGTTGATCTCGCCTCACAAGACGATGCCTGGAAGGTGCGAGTTTTGCTACGTAAATTGGGTCCGGCAGAATATGAACGGTACTGCAACCTAATTTTACCACAGAAACCACGTGACAATTGTTTCGATGATACAATAAAGTTGCTGCGTGAACATTTCGGAGACCACTCCTCATTATTCAGTATACGTTATCGTTGCCTCAAGCTGGCAATGAATGAAAATGATGATTTTCTTACTCACGTTGGCACAGTCAACCGAGAATGTGAGAGATTTCGACTCAGGTCCTTAACAGATGATCAGTTCAAAGCCTTGATTCTCATATGCAGTCTCCAATCTCCTCGTTTCACAGATATCCGAACTCGACTGCTCAATCAGCTAGAACAAAATCCCAAGTTAACATTACATGACATAGCTGATGAATATCAACGGCTGATTAATCTGCAGAAAGACACACACCTGGTCGAATCAACACCTCCGAGAAGCTCTGATATTCGTGCATTACGCAAGAGCAAAAATCTCTCATCAGCTACTCCTGACCCACCTACTTCTCCTAATGTTCCGCGGAAATCTACACATACTCGTCCAACTTCACAAAATACGACAAAGAAGACCCCTCCATCACCATGCTGGCATTGTGGCGCGTGGCACTTTGTAAAGTCTTGTCCATACAAAAATCATCGTTGCAGCAAGTGCAAGATCATCGGTCACAAAAATGGTTTTTGTCAGCCACGCAACCCAGATATCAAAATCCAGCAAAAGCTCAACAAAATGTTGGTCCTAAATCCCCCAAAAAGTCATTGAGTCTACGCGCAACCCGTCAAGTCACAACACCAGGTATGCGGAAATATCTTGATCTTCAGATGAATGGTCATGATGCCCGTCTGCAGCTAGATACCGCCTCTGATATTACTGTTATATCAGAGAAACTTTGGAATTATATTGGCAGACCACCTATCACCAATACTTCCCAGTCTCTTCTCAGCGCCTGTGGTGGGCGGCTCAAACTAATTGGTGAACTCAAATGTTCTGTTTCCTTCCGCAATACCAAATTCACAGGAATTTGTTACGTCACGAAGAATGATTTAAATGTTTTGGGACTTGATTGGTTCGATCGTTTGCATCTGGCTGATGTCCCACTAAATTCTCTACGCAATACAGTGAAGAAGCATAAAATGCTAGACAATTCCGGACGGAGCCGAAGCCGCAAACCCAACAATCAGACGAAACGACAGGCGTCAACAACAAGCCCAAAGGTCCCAGATAAACCCCCAGGTAAACATCCTACTAATCATCCATCTTCTCAAAAGGGGAGGTGATATGTATCCACATATATATATTTATGTGTGTGTGTGCATGTTGGTCTCTCTTTCTGTTTGCTCGGTTAGTCTGTGACCACTTCACTTGTATGAACTTGTCTCCTTTAATAATGTATATTCTCCTCATATTATATTATATATAATATGAGTGTTTGTTGACAGTCCGTTGCTTGGTGACATATATCCATATATGTTTGTTGGCATGTCTGCTATATTCGCTATGTATAATTGGATCGACACTCCATTATAATTAGCCATTCATGTTAAGACTGTCTAATGATTTTTCCCACGCTTGTCTGAATTATTTATATATATTCGCATTCACAATTTGTGTGAACTACTTTACTTTACAACTACTTTACTTACTTACCACTTTGGTGTGAGACCATTTATTTTCGTCTCCTTGTGTTTGGACAATAGAAGTATCATCGCAAACCTAGTGGTCTTCTGATTTCCGCCTTCTCGCGTCAGGACTATTAGTTTCTCGACCAGTCCATAACAATAATTTAGCGACGAGTACATAACAGAATTACATTGCGAGATATAAGACTGATAAGCAAATCGACTACATTGAATTAGTCATGCAGAAAGACAGGTGTGTATGAATGTTTTCCAGGTCATGTTCAATTAGATAAGGGGAGAGAGAGTATGAGAGATTCAAATTAAGATAAATTGCATTGCACTTCAATTACATCACTTAGACAAACAATTAGACATTAGGGAATATAACGGGAATTGCAAACAGAGTATTATCAATAGAAGTAGTGATAGTTATAAAAACATTAATAATAATGTTGAAGTGAGTTAAGATAATCCTACTTATAAAGGATAGTTTTAAATGAATCAAGAATAATAATAATAAGAGGTGAGAAAAATAAGTAAAACGTATTACCATGGTAGATTCAGAGTCACGACCATCTCCTTTTGTACACAGAGACCTGGTTTATAAACTCAAATTGCACAAGACTCCTCTGCAATTCCAAGCATCTTCCTGTTTCTATGTCTGCTGACAATAACTGTGAATGACTTGACAGCGTCGATTTCATGTCCACAGTCCACAAGATATTTTGTTGTTATTGAGGTTTTTGGCACTTTGCA